CCTTGGACCACCAGGTCTCAGGGGCAGCAGCCTGGAGTGTGGGCCCCACGATCCAAGGAGCTTCCAGTCAAGTGCTGCCGCTTCCTTTTCGTGTGAACCTGACCCAGTGTCTGAACCCTCCCGTGCCTCAGTTTCCTCTTGGGTATGATGGGAATAACAGTGCCCACCTCCTAGGGTTGCATGAAGGAGTAGGTGAGGTGAGATCCACAAAGCCCAGGACCTGGAAGGTACCTGGTTTGATGACACTGCTTTCCCTCCCGCAGGGTTGGGCAGACTAAAATGGAGTGGACAGCCCAGCTGCCAGCCCAGTGTACCGCTGTCCACGACACTGCTGACCCTGACAGGGACCTCACAAGCACCTGCACCTGGTGTTAGGAGCCTCCATGACTGACCCCCAACTCCAGCCTTTCACCTCTAAAAACTGTGCACCTGCCAAAAGGAAGTGAGCAAAGCTGATGCACGCCTCTACCTGCAGGGACCTGACGCTGTAACAGGGAAACACAGACCATCGGTAAGAAAACAAGTGAGCAGGGATGGCAACCCCAGACACTGGTGAATGCCATAAAGCAGTGCGGCTCAGTATGGGACCCAGAGAACAGCAGGCAGGACTTGGAAAGTGTCTGAAAGGCAGATGCCAGGACCCACTCCCAACCTCCTGCGTCGGAACCGGGGTGGAGCCAGAGATTCTAATGCACGTTCAAGTTTGAGGACCACACAGATAAAGATGGGACAAGTAGGCGGGCAGAGATGGTTTCCTTCTTTTAAACATCTTTTTAGAGCCAGGGTTACACTCAGGCTGTCGCCCAGGCTGCAGTACGGTGGTGAAATCATAGTTAACTGCAGCTCTGAACCCCTGGGCTCAAGCAGTTCTCAAGCCTCAGCCTCCCAGGTCACTCCAGGCTCGAACTCTTGGGCTCAAGTGATCCCCCAACCTTAGCTTCCCAGGTAGCTGGGACTACAGTCTCGCACCACCATGCCTAGCTGATTTTTAATATTTTTTTTTGGTAGAAATGGGGTCTTGCTATGTTGCCCAGGCTGGTCCCAAACTCCTGAACTCAAGCAATCCTCCCACTTCGGCCTTCCAAAGTGCTGGGATTACAGGCATGAGCCACTGTGCCCAGCCCACGTCTTTAGTAAGAGTCACTAAAAGCCTCCCTGAACACGGCCCCCATTTGAACCCGGAGGACAAAGAACAGATGTGGCAAAGGCTGGGAGAAGACGGTTCCAGGTGCAGAACATCAAGTTCAGGGACAGGACTGAGTCTGGCAGGTCTGAGCAAGAGGGAGGTGACCCGTGGGGCTGAGGAGCAGCAGAGCTGCACAGGCCTGGGGGCCTCAGGCAGGAGTCTGGCCTCACCCAGACGGCACTAGTGAGCAGGGAGGGACTCTTAAGCAGCAGGGACCACATCCTCCCCAGCCTGCTGTTCTCAGCCCTCTAGCCTGAAACACAGACCTGCCCTACTTTCCCAGCACCCGCAGGTCTAGGGGCAGGAAGCCTGAGGAGAGGCTCAAGGCAGGCAGACAGGGCAAGGACCACACCCCCAGTTTTTGTTCCTGGGCTGGGCAAAGAGGAAGTGCTCAAGGGTGGGCCCTGGGGCTGCCCAACCAGGCTGAAGGCAGAGAGAAGGGAAGAGCATGGAGGACTGTTACGGGGTGGGGAGACTCAGAAGTGCCGCAGTTTTGCTACTGCAGACACCTGACCTTCAACTTCCCAGGTCCCAACGACCCTGAGCCGCCTCCGGTCAGAAAAGGGCAGATGCATCCACAAGTGTGCATTAAAAGGGAAACTCAATGAGAGTCACACAGTAGGTGTCAGGGACAAACTGCATTTCCCCACGATTGCAACGAGTCTCTTTCCTCTCTCTCTGTCTCTCTCACATATGCACACACATGCACAGAGCAACAGCATCACAGGAATGCTACAGTCAGAGAGCCACAGAGTAATCTCACACACACACACACACACACACACACACACACACACACCCCTGCAGATTGCTAGTCTGCTACAGTCACACCGAAATTTCCCAGAAAAGTTAGCCAGACGCATTAGTGCAGACAGATACAGGGCAGTCTGGATAAATCATATTCACACACATAGCCACGAGGAAATCTTGGCAAACAGCCGAAGACAAGTAACATTCACAGTTACAGAGAGCCATACTGTGAAAGACTGGTCCCAAAGAACCCCAGGTGACATATACACAGTCCCAGGTAAGCCAGGTCCCATGATCAGCCAACACATCCCGACTCAGTGTCCCTGTGCCCGCACAGGGCTCACCATCTGGTGGGGAAGGCAGAGCAAAGACTAATTCCTAAGTGGCAAGGGGCTGGGCGTGGTGGCTGACACCTATAATCCCAGCACTCTGGGAGGCTGAGCAGATCACTTGAGGTCGGAAGTTCAAGACCAGTCTGACCAACATGGTGAAATTCCATCTCTACTAAAAATACAAAAATTAGCCGGGCGTGGTGGCACACCCTGTAATCCCAGCCACTTAGGAGGCTGAGGCAGGAGAATTACTTGAACACGGGAGGTGGAGGTTGTAGTAAGCCAAGATCACACCACTGCACTCCAGCCTGGGCAACAGAGCAAGACTGCTTCTAAAAAAAGAAAAACATAAATAAAAAATAAAGTGGCAAGGGGTGGAAGGTATCAGTGGCTGTGGCTGGGGGGAGCCCCGATGCTCACACAGCCAAGCAGGACTTAGGAATAATGCCGTCAAGGGGGGCGTGGATCTCCAGGACACACTTGCCAGGCAGTGGAATAATGCGTGGCACATGCTTTACTAACTGTCAGATGGACAACGGCAGTTATCTATTGCCTCCAGAGTACCCTGGGTAGTTTAGAGTCTTCGGAGGGAGGGTCCCAGGCCCACAGAGAGCCACAAGGGGTCTCACGCTGTTCGCACACACACAAAACCACAGAGGGACTCAGCTTTACAAAGAGAGGCCTGGGCACCACTCAACACTGTCACAAAGAGGTACACAAAGGAATGTTCACACAAAGATGGAATCAGATGTAAATTACAGCCACACCCACAGAGCCTTAGACACACAACAATGTCACGAATGGACACACACGGGTAACTTACAGTAACACAGAGTTAAATAAGAGTTCCAAGCTGGGCACGGTGGCTCACGCCTGTAATCCCAGCACTTTGGAAGGCTGAGGTGGGCAGATCATCTGAGGTCAGGAGTTCAAGATCAGCCTGGCCAACATGGTGAAGCCCTGTCTCTACTAAAAATACAAAAAATTAGCCAGGTGTGGTGGTGGGTGCCTGTAATCCAGCTATTCAGGAGGCTGAGGCAGGAGAATGTCTTGAGCCTGAGAGGCGGAGGCTGCAGTGAGCCGAGATCGTGCCACTGCACTCCAGCTTGGGTAACAGAGCCAGACTGTGTCTCAAAAAAAAGCGTTTCAGAGCCAAATTACAGGCATATGCAGGCACAGAGGGTCACGGCAGAACCTACAGAGCCCCAGGCACACTTGTACACACACCACTAAGTCACAATGAGATGCACACTGGTAACTTACAGGCGATGCTTGGAGCCACAGATGAAATTAGTGGGTAAAACACACAGCCTAAGGAGATAGCTACACACAATAGCTCCAGACACGTGTACACACACTTCCAACGTCACACTCAGACACACAGGGGTAATTTATATTTGCACAGAGAGCCACAGATGGAATGAGACACACGACACCACACAACCAGCAGCTCACAGCCACAGACTTGGAGCCTAGAAACACACAGGTAACTTACAGTAACACACAGAGCCATGGTCAGAATTAACGGTAAGTTAGGGTACCCCGTCAGGGGCCCAAAGCTGCTGCAGGCTAGCAGCCCCAGACACATGTACACACACTTGCAAGACAATTCACACGCGCCCACCTGGACCGGAAGGAGAGTAAGAAGTCAATTCTGAGCACACAGGAGCCCCCGTCCCCCATTATGTGAAGCAGGCGGTCTGGGGAGACGCAGGAAGCCCCCACCCCGGCAGCCGCGAGACGGTGGGAGGGGACCCAGCCGGGAGGGGGCTGCTCCCGGCGCGCCCAGGGCTCCGCGGCCTGTGGGCCTGGGCTGGTCCCGAGCTTCCCTCCATCCCAGGCCGGAGCCCCCGGTTCGGCCTCGCACTCACCCCTCACCTCCCAGCCAAGGGGGTCTCAGGCCTGGAGGCCCTCCCTGCCAGATGAGCCCGGGGGCTCCCAGCCAAACCCCGCAACCCAGCGCGTTGCGGGTCGGCAGTGGCGACCCAGACCTCGGGCCCTACCCCGCGCCCGCGCCCGCGCCCCACCCCCGAGCTGCACCCCTTGCCCGGGGACCCTCCTGCCCCGCCCCCACCCCGATCGTCCCGGCCCGGGCCACGTGCAGAGGACCCCAACTTCCGCAGCCGCCGCGCTCCCCCGCCTCCCGAGCCCCCAGCGCTCCCGGTCCCCGAGCCTCCGCCGCCCGGTCCTTACTCGAACATGGATGCGGCGCGGCGGGCGCGCCCCGGGCGCAGGGCAGGGCAGGGCAGGGCAGGGCAGGGCAGGGCCGGGCTACGCGGGGCGTCCCCGGAGGGCACCAGCCTGGCCTTCCGCGGCCGCCGCCCCCACCAGACCCAGCCGCCCGCACAAAAGGCCGGAGCCGCCGGAGGCCGCCGCGGAGTCAGCGACACCCCCTTCCTGCCCCCGCCCCGCCGCGTCACGGCGCCGCCCCCCGCCCCGGAGGGAAGGCAGGGAGGGGCCGCCGAGGCCTAGAAGGAGGGAGAGGCGGGGGAGAGAGGGACTGGACAGAGAAGGGGCAAGAGAGGGGCAGAGAGACAGAGCAGGAGACATAGAGACTTTATTAAAACCAAACACTGTGGAGGCAGCTGCAGGCTGGGGAGCCCCCTCCCCTCGTACCCCGAAAAGGGTCCCCAGCAACTACTATGCCCCAGGCCAGGAGCTCCTGAACCCCCCAGGGAGGAACCTGAGAGCCTGGGCGGAGGTGGGGAGGACTGAAGATTCTGGGAAACCTAGGTGTGTGTATGGGGGAGGAGGCCCGAAGCTGGCGGGAAGTGGTGGGGCCGGTTGGCCTCCTCCTCCTTTCCCCTCCCAGTCTCTGAGCCCGAGTTCCTGGTCCCAGGAGGTCCCGTGCCCCCATTTCTAGGGGCTTCCCGGTCCCGGTTAACCAGGCCAAGTACCAAGTCAGAATCCAGCCTCCCTGGCGTTATCTGTGCGGAGACCTTGGGCTCATCACCCCAGTGCGGGGGTCCCACTGACTCGGTGGTAAGGGCTTTCTCCCGGGGACAGCGCAGGAACGGGCAAAATCAGTCCTTTTACGGAAGGAGAAGCCCGGCCTGTAAGATGGAAAGTGACTTGTTGGGGTCACCCGGCAAGTAAGCGGCAGAGTTGGATTCTAACCTGCTCTGACTCCAGAACCTGCATCCCCCACTCTGCCAGAGGTCAGACTCAGACGGTGTCCCGGACTCCTGGCCCAACCACACAGAAACGTGAGTCCCACCTCACAGCTCCGGGGCCGGGGCTCCCCAGCCTTCTCCAGGGTAGGCTGTTCCTGCCTCTTTTGAAAAAAATCTCCCTTCCCATCCCCCGCCATCAACCCTTCCCTTCCTCCTGCAAAAGAACCCCACCTGACTTCTCCATTTTGGTGAATGGCAGACCCAGAACTTCAGAACTTCCCTGACCCTCTCCTTTCCTTCACACCCACATCCAATCTGTCACAAGCCCTGTGGGCTCCACGTATAAAATCAAATCGCTCCGGATTCCTAACTCTTCTTCCTCCACTGCCCACACCCTGGCCCAGCCTCCATCGTCTCCTGCCTGGACATTTCGGCAGTCTCCTGCCTGATCTCCCCACTCCCGTCTCTACCCCCACTGTCTGTTCTCACCTGCAGCCAGAGAGAGCCTGGGATCACCTGAGTCGGGTAACGACCCTCCTGGCTCAGAGCCCTGCCCTGGCTGCACCTCGCTCCAGGTGAAAGCAAAGTCCTCACCTTGGCACCCAAGGCCCCTGTCAGCTCCCTGACTTCAGCTCGTCTCCTGGCTCACACCCTCCATCCAGCCTTCCCGCTGTTCTAACTCAGCAGGCACCTTCCTGCCTCCTGCCCCAGGACTTTGCACCTGCTATTCCCTCTGCAGGGACAGCTACCTAAACATCTTCACACACAATAAACGTTAATTTTGCTCTTTTACAACTTTTATGGCTGTGGTCACCATATGTGTGTTCTCCTGTATCTTACTTTTTTCTTTTTTTGAGATGGAGTCTCATTCTGTCACCTAGGCTGGAGTGCAATGGCTCCATCTTGGCTCACTGCAGCCTCTGCCTCCTGGGTTCAAGCAATTCTCCTGCCCCAGCTTCCGGAGTAGCTGGGATTACAGGCACGCGCCACCACGTCTCGCTAATTTTTGTATTTTTAATAGAAATGGGATTTCACTATGTTGGCCAGGCTGGTCTCGAACTCCTGACTTCAGGTGATCCATCCACCTCGGCCTCCCAAAGTGCTGGGATTACAGGCCTGAGCCAGTGTACCTGACCCCTGTGCGCTCTTCTATCCTTTTGCTACATCAGGAGGCACCCACCAACAATATCGCCTATTATCCAGTATCTTTTATTTTTTATTTTTGTTTATTTATTTATTTTTTTTTTGAGACAGAGTTTCGCTTTTGTTACCCAGGCTGGAGTGCAATGGCGCGATCTCGGCTCACGGCAACCTCCGCCTCCTGGGTTCAGGCAATTCTCCTGCCTCAGCCTCCTGAGTAGCTGAGATTACAGGCACGCACCACCACGCCCAGCTAATGTTTTGTATTTTTAGTAGAGACGGGGTTTCACCATGTTGACCAGGATGGTCTCGATCTCTTGACCTGGTGATCCACCCGTCTCGGCCTCCCAAAGTGCTGGGATTACAGGCTTGAGTCACCGTGCCCGGCCTATCCAGTATCTTTTAAAAGAGATACACAATTAGCCTCCCTCTGTTTCATTTGCAGCTTGCTGTCCCCCATCATGATTGTTTCTGTGATTCCTCCATCCACGCACAAAGCTCCACTTCATAAACCTTAACTGTTATCGAGTATCCCTTGTTGGAAGAAACCACAGTGGCTACTTCTTCTATTCAAGGTCAGTAGAGTTCTTTCCTCTTCCCCCTGTGGTGGCCCCGAACCTCCCATTTCCTGTCTCTTTGTACCAGAGTTTTCTTTGCAGAAGTTTTGTTTAAACTTTCTTTTTGTCTTTGTTTCTTCTTCTTTTTTTTTTTTTCTCTTTTGCCTGTAATCTACAGCAGGAAATACCTTTCACATGGGCTTCCAGCAAGCACTTAAAAATATACATAATGCCACGGAAATTGCAAGAAACCACACTTAACCCTCATTAGGCCTCACACATGGTGTTATTTGCAATTCATTTTATTTTTATTTGGATTAAGAAGTGCTGATTGTAACGGGGCACCACGGCTCACAATCCCAGCACTTTAGGAGGCTGAGGAGGGTGCATCACCTGAGCTCAGGAGTTCAAGACCAGCCTGGGCAACATGATCAGACTTCATCTCTACTAAAAATACAAAAAAAACATAGACGGGTGTGGTGGTGCGCGTCTGTGGTCGCCGCCACTGGGTGGAAGGGGGAGCGATGGAGGTTGCAGTGAGCCGAGACCATGTCACTGCACTTCAGCCTGGGTGACAGCTGAAGGCGTGATCTTGGCTCACTGCAACCTCTGCCTCTCGGGTTCGAGCGATTCTCCTATCTCAGCCTCCCGAGTAGCTGGGATTACAGGTGTGCACCACCACGCCCGGCTAATTTTTATATTTTTAGTAGAGACAAAGTTTCACCATGTTGGCCAGGTTGGTCTCAAACTCCTGACCTCATGTGATTCACTGGCCTCGGCCTCACAAAGCGCTGGGATTACAAATGTGAGCCACCGTACCTGGTCTTTTGTTTTTTCTTTTTGAGACAGAGTCTTGCTCTGTCTCCCAAGCTGGAGTACAATGGCGCGATCTCAGCTCACTGCAACCTCTGCCTCCCGGGTTCAAGCTAACCTCCTGCCCTAGCCTCCTGAGTAGCTGGGATTATAGGTGCCCGCCACCATTGCCAGCTAATTTTGTATTTTTAGCTGAGATGGGGTTTCACCATGTTGACCAGGCTGGTCTCAAGCTGGTGACCTCGGGTGATCCACCTGCCTCAGCCTCCCAAAGTGCTGGGATTATAGGCGTGAGCCACCGTGCCCAACTTCCCCTCTGCTCTTACTAGGCAGAGCACAGCTGAGCTCGCTCAATGTACACCCTCAGGTGCCTTTTGTTTGTGCATCTGTTTCGTGGCTTTGAGTCAGGCCTCTGTGGGGCTAAGGTTGCGCTCTGACCGGCAGCCACACGGAACCCACCCTGGACGGAGAAAACCAAAACCCTCCCTAGACAGAGAGACTCTCTTTCCCCTCCCACTGCCCAGGTCTGACCTGTCCTGGGACAGACTCTGTGCGTCTGGAGTCCTCAGCTGCTGCTGGCGTCGGGGGATCAGGGTGCAGGTGGGGGACTCCTCATCACTGGATGGCGTTATGTGAATGATGGGCACCTCCAGGAGCTTCCAGGACTCAGAGGCCAGGCCCTGGCCCCTGTCACCCTGTGGCTGCTGCTTCCGCTGCCCAGCTGGGAGGTCAGGTGAGCCCTGGGGACTGCCTTGTGCCACTATGGTCTCCCAAGGGGTCAGGTGTAGGACCTCATCCATGAGGAGGGTCTGGAACAGCGGCGTGGTCTCTGGGGGAGAAAAAAAGAGAGGTGAGGGGTAGAACTTTTGCTTAAGCCCCTTACCACCTTCCCCTGTGGCTCCACTAAGAGAAATTAGCTATGATCAAGAGTACAGGTGGGGGCCAGGTGCAGCGGCTCATGCCTCTAATCCCAGTTCTCTGAGAGGCTGAGGCAGAAGGATCACTTGGAGCCAAGAGTTTGAGACCAGTCTGGGCAGCATAGCAAGACCCCATCTCTACAAAAAGTTTAAAATTAGCTAGGCATGGTGGCATGTCTCTATAGCCCCAGCTACTCGGGAGGCTGAGGCGGTAGGATCATATGAGTCTTGGAATTTGAATCTAGAGTGAGCTATGCTGGTGCCACTGTACCCCAGCCTGGGCAACAGATGAGACCCTGTCTCTACAAAAAGCCAAAAATTAGCTGGGCCTAGTGGCACATGCCTATAGTCCCAGCTACTCAGGAGGCTGAAACTGTAGGATCGCATGAGCCCAGGAACTGGAGGCTACAGTGAGCTGTGATCGCCACTGTACTCCAGCCTGGGCAACAGAGCGAGACCTTGTCTCAGAAAAGAACAACACACAAAAAAACGCATGATCTGGGGGTCAGAGAGTTCTGGGTGGGAGTACCACCTCTGCTAACCTCCTTCCCTTATGACCCCAAGCCTGTTTCCTCTTTTGGAAACTTGAGATCCCGATAGGACCCCGTACGGTGGCTGGGCAGTATCTGGAGCGCTCTGACATGCAAGGCGGTAGGCCAGGGTCCCAACACAGTAAGTGCCCGGTTAATCCCATTTGCCTGTGGCTGGAACTGAGATTTACTGAACCACATAGCTCCTAGCTCATATGTGGGGGTCTGGGCTATTTTTTCGGACAGCTCTGGGTGTTCTCTGTCCCCACTCCTGCCTGTATCCCTTCCACGCACAGGGTCAGGAAGGAGCCAGGCCTCAGTGGGCACCAGAGGCCTGGGCCTGGGTAACAGCTGGCCGGACAGACAGAGGGGCGGAATCGGGATTCCCCTTCCCTGTTTGCTTAGCATTTGCCCCTCCCAAGACAAACAAAGGGAGGTGGCCGGCTAGGGCCTCCTGGGCCTGGGAGGAAGCCAGGTCAGTTTCTGCGCTGCAGCTGTGATGCTGGAGGCTGCCTGGGTCTTGGGGGGGCCAGACAGGAGTCTCTCTGTCCTCATGACAGGGGCTTCTTGGCACCCAGCTGCTCAGGGAATAGGGAAGGAGGACCTTCGGGGACCAGAGAGGGTTTCCCCTGGCTTGGGAAAGACCTTGACCCCTACTGGCCAGGCCTGGATCTTCTCAGGCACCCAAGTACCCCAATACCCCTACCTTATGGGGTCCTCCTCCTTCTGTCCACAGAGGGTTCAGGCTTGCAGGGGAAGGACGGTAAGCCAGGCCCTTCCTTTCCCCTGGGAGTCCCAGCTGGGCCAGAGGGTCATGACCTTGCAGGCTGGAATAGCCATGACCATGTCCGGCTGGAGTCATGTTACTCTCTGGCCAGCTGCTCCTGGGAGAAAAGACAGAGTGGGGATGGAGATGGGGTGCTCATGCCAAAGAGGAGGTAGAAGGAACCCCCTCATTTTTCCCTTATTGGCCGCACAGGGAGGAAAGGCTATCCACCCCAGGCCTCTCGTGGCGTAGCGCTCGCGTTGACCTGTGGCCAGCCACAGTGTAGCATCTCCAACTGCATTGCAGCGCGAGTCCCTGGACAGAGAGGTCCCCTTTCTAGTCCCACCACCCAGGTCTCACCTGTCTTGGGACAGACTCTGCAGGTCTGGAGTCCTCAGCCACTGCAAGCGTTGCTCCTCCAAGTTCAGAAATCACCCCCAGGTGGGCAAATCCCAATTCCAGTCCTCACCTTCCCCAACTGCCCTTAGAAGCCCTGACTCTGGGAGATGCTGCTTCTTCCTGGAAGGCTTCCTTGGCCTCTGGGTTGCCACAGGTTCCTCTCCTCCCACCTCATGCAGCTCCATCTCACCTCACGCACAGCTCCTGCTCCTTGCCCTGCTCTGTAAAAGCTGGCATTACCCACGGCTGAGGTCTGGGCACTTTTCTCTTATTTTTCCAGTTGTTTTTTTTAATTTGAGATGGAGTCTTGCTCTGTTGCCCAGGCTGGAGTGCAATGGGGCAATCTCAGCTCACTGCAACCTATGCCACCCAGGTTCAAGTGATTCTCTGGACTCAGCCTCCCAAGTAGCTGGGATTACAGGCATGAGCCACCACACCCGACTAATTTTTGTATTTTTTTAGTAGAGATACGGTTTCACCATGTTGACCAGGCTGGTCTCAAACTCCTGACCTCAAGTGATCCACCCACCTCGGCCTCCCAAAGTGCTGGGGTTACAGACGTGAGCTTTCGTGCCTAGCCATTTTCCAGTTTTATTATATAAGAATTGACACATACCAAAGGATGTCCGTATCATAGATGTGGGTTATAATGTATGACAACAAAATATTATAAGATGTGGGGTGTATAACAATAAAACAGCCCCCTAACTCGATTCACCAACTCAGTTTGAGAACCAGCACATTATCAGGGAGTACCCCTGTGACTGTCTTGGGCCCCTCCCTTCCAGAAGTCTCCATTGCCCTTTGTTTGACAGTTATCATTCCCTTACGTTTTTATTTTTATTTATTTATTTATTAGAGACAGGATCTCACACTATCTCCCAGGCTGCAATCATAGCTCATTGCAGCCTCCAACTCCTGGACTCAAGAAGTCCTCCTGCCTCAGCCTCCTGAGTAGCTGGGACTACAGGTGTCTGCCGCCACACTTGGCTAATTCTTAAATTTTTGGTAGAGATCAGGTCTCCTGTGTTGCCGAGGCTGGTCTCCAACTCCTAGGCGCAAGCGATTCTCCTGCTTCAGCTTTCCAAAGTGCTGGGATTACAGGCACACACCACCACAGTTGGCTAATTTTTTTTTTTTTTTTTTTTTTTTTTGAGCAGGAGTTTTTTTCTTTTTATTCCCGAGGCTGGAGTGCAATGGCGCGATCTTGGCTCACTGCAACCTCCGCCTCCTGGGTTCAGGCAATTCTCCTGCCTCAGCCTCCCGAGTAGCTGGGATTACAGGCACGCGCCACCATGCCCAGCTAATTTTTTGCATTTTTAGTAGAGACGGGGTTTCACCATGTTGACCAGGATGGTCTCGATCTCTTGACCTCGTGATCCACCCACCTCGGCCTCCCAAAGTACTGGGATTACAGGCGTGAGCCACCGCACCTGGCCGGCTAATTTTTTAAACATTTTGTAGAGGTGGAGTTTTGCCATGTTGCCGAGGCTGCTCTTGAGCTCCTGGGCTCAAATGATTCTCCTGCCTCAGCCTCCCAAAGCGCTGGGATTACAGGTATGCACCACCACACCTGGCTACTTTTTTTTTTTTTTAATTTTTTGTAGAGATGGGGTTTTGCCATATTGCCCAGGCTCATCTTAAACTGGGCTCAAGCAATCCTCCTGCCTCAGCCTCCCAAAGCGCTGGGATCACAAGCATGAGCTACCATGCCTGGCCCATTCTCTTACATCTTTAATCGTTACTATCACATTGGTATGCATCTCTAAACAATATAATTTTTAGCTTTCCTTGCTTCTGAGCTTTTAAAAATAAAATCATACCACATGTCATCTTCCGTGACTTGCTTTTCTCACTCACATTATTCCTGAGATTCATCCATATGGCTGCAGGTTAACTACACTTCACTAACTACATTAGTGAAAACAGACTAATTTGAAAATTTTTTCCAAAAAAATTCATCAATTTTTGCTGTTTGTATTAGTCTGTTTGCACATGGCTATAAAGACATACGTGAGACTGGGTAATTTATTAAACAAAAAAAGAGGTTAAGAGATTTAATCGACTCACACTTCCCCATGGCTGGGGAGACCTCAAGAAACTTACAGTCATGGCGGAGGGGGAAGTGGAAGGAGGCAGGTCTTAACATGGTGGCAGGTGAGAGGGAGTGCATGTTAGCACAGAAAGAAACCTACCATTTATAA